GACAGGCAGCAACACTGGAACGGCAACCGCTTCGGACCCTCGGTTCTTGACGGCCAGATTTCCCTAGATTTGGACCTTATTCCCAGACACAAACTGTCACCTGGTTATCTGTTGGAAGCAGAACACACGACTGGTAGAGCCCCATGGCTAGCAACGGGGAAGAATCTAAGGAGCTATGGCGACACTCGTCTCCTCATACCACTCAAATCCATGACTTCATCAAGACCATCAACAAGGAGCATGTCCTGTCGCTGGAATCATACAACGATCTCTGGGAGTGGAGCATAGCAGAGCCAGCCAAGTTCTGGGAGCAAGTCTGGAATTACACTGCCATTGTGGCTCACCAGCCTTACAGCCGCGTGAGTATCTCCTTGATAATGCTGATGACGCTTGTGTCACTTCGCGCAGCGGGTCTTCGAGGCTGTGCTAATCAGACCGCAGGCCTTAAGCTCAGAACAGCTTCTCTTCCCACGACCTAAATTCTTCGACGGAAGCAAGCTAAACTTCGCTGAAAATCTTCTTTACCCAGCCTCGTCCCCTGACGAGGATGCGGTGGCTGTCATTGCCGCCACGGAATCGGATCGTGAATACGTGTCCTGGAAGGAGCTGCGAAATCGGGTCAGAGAATGTGCCAACGCACTCAAAGAAGCGGGCTTGCAGGTAGGAGACCGCGTCGCTGGGTTTCTGGGAAATCACACAAACACCGTCGTGGCGATGCTCGCAACAACATCGATTGGTGCCTTCTGGACAGGTGTCTCTCCAGATACCGGGGTACACGCAGTGTTGGAACGCCTAAAGCAGATTGAGCCGAAGATCTTGTTTGCCGACAATGCATCGCTGTACAATGGGAAAGTTCACGGCGCAGATGCGAAGCTGCGCGAGATCGTTCCTGGCTTGCCCAAGCTCGAGCTCCTGGTCGTGTTCCGTACCGTCGATTCTTTCAAATTCAAGCTGGAAGAAGTAAAACCGCTGCAAGGCAAGGTTGCATCTTACGATTCTTTCCTTGCCAATGTCAAAGATGCTGCGGCCCCTCTGGACTTCGCGAGTCTGGAGCCGGATCATCCAGTCTACATACTATATTCCTCCGGCACAACGGGAGCACCGAAGCCTATTGTACACGGCGCTCTGGGAACGCTTCTCCAACATAAGAAAGAGCATGTTCTTCACTGTGACATACGTCCCGGAGACCGAGTGTTCTACTTCACAACGACGACCTGGATGATGTGGCACTGGCTTGTTTCTAGCTTGGCCAGCGGCGCCACCATAGTCCTCTACGATGGCTCGCCATTTCGACCGTTCGATGCTGAAGGTGGCAATGGGGAGATGGCCATGCCGCGTCTGATAGATGAACTGCAAATTAGTCACTTTGGCACATCGGCCAAGTATCTGTCCATCTTGGAGCAGGCATCTCTAAATCCCACCAAGCACCCTCACCGGCCGGTGAGCCTGCAGACATTGAAAGCCATCTACAGCACGGGCTCGCCGCTAGCTCCGTCTACTTTTGAATACGTGTACACAGATATCAAGGCAGACATTATGCTGGGCTCGATCACCGGAGGAACCGATATCCTGTCGCTTTTCTGTGGCAGCTGCCCCATTCTTCCCGTCTACAAGGGCGAAATTCAGTGCCGCTGCTTGGGCATGGCTGTTTCAGTCTATGACTATGCCGGCAACGACATCAGCGCCTCTGGCGAACCAGGCGACCTTGTCTGCACCAGGCCATTCCCCGCACAACCAGTGATGTTCTGGCCTCCAGGCCCCATAGGGGCAGAGAAATATCGCAAGAGCTACTTCGATGTGTTCGGTCCATCGATATGGCACCACGGCGATTTTGTGCGTGTGAACCCACAGACTGGAGGAGTGGCCATGCTGGGCCGCAGTGACGGCGTCCTGAAACCGGCTGGAGTCCGCTTCGGAAGTGCAGAGATTTACAACATTTTGCTCAAACATTTTGCAGAAGAGGTGGAGGACTCTCTCTGCATAGGACGAAGACGTGATGGGGTTGACACCGACGAGACAGTCGTTCTTTTTGTCAAATTGCTGCCGCCTGGGGCGGCTTACGAGGTCATATCGGCGGATCTTGCGGCTCGCATTCAGGCGACAATCCGCAAAGAGCTCAGTCCTCGCCACGTACCGGGAATCGTGGCCGTGTGCCCTGAGATTCCCGTGACGTCCAACGGTAAGAAGGTCGAGAATGCGGTAAAACAGATCCTATGCGGGTTGAACATCAAGATCGGTGCGAGTGTCGCGAATGCCTCTTGCCTGGACTGGTACCGCACCTGGGCGACAGCGAACTCCTAGAAGTCGCTGTATTGAGGATTGCTCGTGGATGGTTTGAGTTAGGTGTCGGCAAAGTATACTGTAAGAGAGTAATTAATGATTGGATTTTCTTGTCGAAATCGAGTAATTTTGCGGGCGTCTTTAGAAATCATGGAGCATTTGCTGCCCGGAATATATCCTCGGCTCGATCTAGATCTTGAATCATTATTAAACACATGACCAACCACCTACGGTCTTTTTTGCCACACAAATGGCACTACTTCGATGCTGAGGACTCGTACTCTTCTCATGATGCCATACCTCTGACAAGGAGATACTAGTGTCAGCAACCGTTTCATTCCCTCAGATATTGTTGCTGCATTGCTCTCAATCTTGTCCGAGAAATCTTACGAGTGCTTACCGCTTAGATAAGCAACCCCGGCTCGGAGCCCAAATCCTTGCGACGCCTGGCCGTGACGAAACCATTTCCCGGTGAGCAGGCTTCACAAAACTGAGGCAAACACGCAAATTTTACCTCGACATACTCATTGGTCTCTGCAATACACATACTTGAAGATGCGTCGCTCTGTATTGCGGGCTGTCGAGTCCGCGAAGCCGATTGCTCGCGTGCCTCGCTCAGCTGCGTCGAGAAGCTTTTCCACTGCTACAGACGGGTCTAAGGTACGTTGAGCGCGCAGGTTGAAGTCCTGGTTTCCAGAAATTGCGCAACTAGCAGGCTGACTCGGATTCTCACGCATTCTACAGGACCCCGCAGAATTAGATCAAATCACTACCCTGCCGAACGGAATCCGCGTCGCTACCGAATCCCTGCCCGGCCCTTTCGCTGGAGTTGGTGTCTACGTCGATGCTGGATCCCGCTATGAAGATGAGAGCCTGCGCGGTGTGAGCCACATCATGGACAGACTGGCTTTCAAGTCCACCAAGGGGCACTCCGCCGATGAGATGCTGGAAACTCTTGAGAACCTCGGTGGAAACATTCAGTGCGCCTCTTCCCGTGAGTCGCTGATGTATCAGTCGGCTAGTTTCAACTCTGCAGTTCCCTCGACGCTCGGATTACTGGCGGAGACCATCCGTGATCCCCTCATCACCGAGGAAGAGGTGATCCAGCAGCTGGCCACCGCCGAATATGAGATCGGCGAGATTTGGTCCAAGCCCGACCTCATCCTGCCGGAGCTGGTGCACACGGCGGCTTACTCGAACAACACTCTGGGAAACCCGTTGCTCTGCCCGGCGGAGAGACTGGGGGAGATTAACAAATCCGTCGTGGACAAGTACCGGCAGACTTTCTTCAACCCGGAGCGCATGGTGGTTGCATTTGCCGGCGTGGAGCATGACAAGGCGGTTAAGCTTACGGAGCAGTACTTTGGTGACATGAAGTCTAACAAGCCGGCTCTTTCGGGAACCGGTGTCGAGACTACTTTGTCTCATTCCGAATCGACTCTGGAGGAAGGACAGGTGCCCACAGTCCCTCAATTCACGCCATCTTCAACTGTTTCTACCACACCCCCCACCTCCAAGTCGGGAATTCTATCGAAACTCCCCTTCTTGAAAAACCTCAACCTGTCCGGCTCCCAGAATGATGCCGCATCGCCGCTTGATCCATCGCTAGTGCAGTCAACGACTCTGGACTTGACTCGGCCTTCTCACTACACGGGTGGCTTCCTCTCTCTGCCCCCCATCCCTCCGCCAGCCAACCCTATGTTGCCTCGTCTGAGCTACATCCACCTTGCCTTCGAGGCCCTCCCGATTTCAAACCCTGACATCTACGCCCTCGCTACTCTCCAGACCCTCCTCGGAGGCGGCGGCTCCTTCTCGGCCGGTGGTCCCGGCAAGGGCATGTACTCCCGTCTCTACACCAACGTGTTGAACCAGCACGGGTGGGTGGAGAGCTGCGTGGCGTTCAACCACAGCTACACGGACAGCGGTATTTTCGGAATCTCCGCATCCTGCAGCCCCACGCGCACTACCGAAATGCTGGAGGTCATGTGCCGTGAGTTGCAAGCCCTGACCCTTGACAACGGTTATTCCGCCCTCCAGGCCCAGGAGGTCGAGCGTGCGAAGAACCAGCTCCGCTCCTCGCTCCTTATGAACCTGGAGTCGCGGATGGTGGAGTTGGAGGATCTCGGACGTCAGGTCCAGGTCCACGGCCGGAAGGTGAGCGTCAAGGAGATGTGCCGGCACATTGAGGGCTTGACGGTGCAGGACCTGCGTCGGGTGGCTAGAAAGGTCTTCGGTGGTCAGGTCCAGAATCCTGGCAAGGGCAGCGGAAAGCCCACCGTCGTCCTGCAGGAAGGCGAGCTTGAGGGCTACAAGCTTCGTCCGTTCCCCTGGGGAGAGATCCAGGAGCGGATAGCCAGGTGGCAGTTGGGAAGACGGTAAATTTGGAGAATGAAGATCATTGAGGTTCCTAGTTCAGCGTTCCTCAAGGAAAGTATAGCATCCAGGAAATGATTATTTCCTGGATGCAGGTTGGGATAGAGCAGGCTTTCACAAATTCTTCACTCTATGTAATTAGATATAGCCATGAACCTCAATCAAAGTGTACCATAGACGCATCATTGCCTGTAACTTTTGGTAGTTGTTCTGGCCATTGAAGGCTTATAGAACGATTGATTAAAAATGACGATGAATAATAATGCATGGGCGGCGGCCAGCTCCTTACCGCTTTGAGTTCGTTTCCGCCCGGGAAAAAAGTTGGAACGGAAGTTCGAAGCCGGCGGCCGCCTTCAATCTCCGTTCTGCTCCTCCATCCAACTTCCTACTCACTCACCACCGTCTTCATCTTCACGACCCTCGGGCTCCACCTTCTATCGCAATCCAACCCACACCGTTCACACTCCCCAAACGTCACAATGGTCAAGCTCACCGAAGTCGAGGACGAGCACTTCGCCCAGGAGAAGCCTCAGCCCAGCAAGCACAACGTCCTTCTTGCCTCGGATGACGAAGAGGAGGACGATGACTACACTGACACCGGTACGTCCACCTCTCTCAAAACCCATTAAATATCGTTCCAAGAGGCGACTATCGCAACCAAAAACCATCCCTCCCGCGACCCATCCCGAATCAATCACCATCCGTCCATATTCCATCCATCCATACATCCATCCATACGCGACCATCTTGTTTCGCAGCCACGCACCCTAAACCCCAGCTCTACATCTCCTATCTATCCTCAACTTCAGAACAATCCATGCATGAAGCCCATAACAAACCAGCCAGCATCGCAAATACTGCTTCCTGAACCTCAACTGACATCCTACCTCTTTTCGCTGCACTACAGAATCCGAGATCTCCACTGAGTCTTACGAAGAGCTCGAGAGCGAGAACCTGTACGACCGCATCTACGCCCTGAAGGACATGCTCCCGCCCTCCGCCCGCCGCTCCCTCACCTCCACCGTCAACACCGTCACCTCCTTCACAAAGTCCAGCGTGACGTTCAGCGGCAAGGCGCTGTGGATCATCAGCACCAGCGCGTTCCTGCTGGGTGTGCCGTGGGCTCTTGCCTACGCCGAGGAGGAGCAGTACATCCAGATGGAGCGCGAGCAGGGCATGATCAAGGGTGCTAATGAGGTATGCTTTGTTTTATTCCTGTCATTGTTTTTTTTTTTTTTTTCGACTTGTGGGGTGGCCGATTGCGGATGGATTTGGGCTGGGAGGATTTGAAGAAAGACGAGTGATAGACTCTCTTTTTTTCTATCTTGGTTTCCTTTGCAATCTCGAGAATCGCTCTCCATGAAGTCCTTATGCACATCATACAAACTGCGACTGCGATTGCATCGCCCGATGCGAGGAAGAACCGAGAATGGATGCTAACTTTCCGCGCGTACGATAGATGCTCACCCCCGGCGCTGCCCCCGCCGAGCAGCAGGCTCAGCCTACTCTGTAAATGCCCAGAAATTAAAAAAAGGAAACATTCTCCGTCGCCGAAGGCGCCAAAGAGGAAAGATCGCAACGGTTTGGTTGAGGAAGTGGATCGAAGAACACCAGGTTTTACTTGATGCGATGAAATCGCTTTTTGTATCCTCGTCCATTCCGTTCCGTGTACCAACAAGACCTGAGTGGAACTCCGGGATTGCTGGGCAGACGACGCAAAAAGGTTGTTTACACTGTACAGAATGCCTGGGCCTGTGTTCCCCGGCCCGGGGAAATGAAGAACCACGGTGTTCTTCTTCTTTCCACTTTCCCTCACATCTGTCTGCTTTTCGGAAATCTTTGGCTTTCTTTGCCTTCAACTTTGGTCATCCCTCTCCACCTCCTGTTTCCTTCCTCGGGCGATGTGTGTTGTATTTGTATAACCGGGCTTCTTTTTTCTCTTGTTCGTTTCGTTGATGTGTCTACTCCTATCGCTTTTTCCTTTATTTTATTTTTGGGGAACTCATGTTTCTAGATTTTCATGAAATGTGAATGATTTCAAGATCTGGTAATTTTGGAGGGTATATTGTGGGCGGGAGGTATGGATACGCCTCAGTCTTGTCTTAGATGTAGGATTATTTCATCTGCGTGGACATCATTGGGAAAGTGAAAGGCAACAATAAAATAGTGATGGTCAAAGGATGAAACAAGCAAGCAGGGTATCATGAAAAATGACGGTATAAGAAAAGGCCGCAGCAGAAATCCCTAACATGGATAGAAAAAAAAAAAAGAACCCGAGTATGCACAGATGAGTGTCAAGGCGAGTGGAGGTGAACGCCTCTCTGGTTGATCTGCCTCAATCTCATAGGAATAGTCTTATAAGAATGGTGTCGAACACAACTGAAGCAGCATGAGAAAGTGCCCTCGGCCCAGAATTGAAGGGGCGCTCGCTGGCTGGCTATATCGAGCGATGAGGTCAGAAGGAAGGGTTCTCGAACCCATCCTACAACAGAGCATTCGCGACCTATCCGAGGGACTGTCAATCTGGCGTTAGCAACAAATCTCTCTCCCTATTTGATGGTAGGTCAGTATTGAGGGATCGTTTGGGGCTGCACATACACTGGTTTCGCGGGCGGTTCGCAAATCGATGTGGAAATCCCGCCAGAGTTTCTTGACCTCGCCCTCCTGGACCATCTTCTCCACTGCCTTGATGGCATACTTGGTTTGTTTGCGGTGGCTCCAGTGGCTGCGCTCGAGGATGCGCGCATCAGACAGGTAGCCCTTGAGGCGCAGGTGGTCGGTCACCCACTCGTTGAGGCGGAAGCGCCAGTGGGTGAGGGTGTGGGCCAGATTCGCTTTGGTTTTGCAGTGTCTGAATGGGGTTGTTAGTGAGTGTATTCGCTGATGATTCTGGTAAAGAAACATACCGTCCGAGGTAGAAGCGCGTGTTCTCGTCAGGCAAGATGTTTCCGTCGCGGTCTCTTTCGCGGCTGTCGCTTGGTTCGTTGCCGGATTGCTCCTCCTCATCGTCATCAACATCACTGTTCTCATCCTCGAGAGGTTCCAGCGTATCCAAAGCGTAGGCTTTGCCGTAGAGCTTGATGTCAAAGGACGCCGGGTGGCCAGAGCGCTTGCACGCGTCGCACGGGTGGTTATCGAAGGTCGGATAGGAAGTCACTTCCATATGTGGTCGTGCCAGCAGTGCGCGGCGGAACTCGGCCGTCCATACTGACGAGACCAGCTGCGATCCCGTGCGGCCCTTGACTTCGTCCTCGAGTTTGCTGAAAGCCAGTTCGTAGACTGGACTCGAGCGTGGAAAGGCTGGGTTCAGCTGGTTGTGCACCATCCATTCCACCGCATCCTGGAAGTAATCTTTGAGTTGCTTGTAGGCGTGGCGGGTGAACTCGAAGGGCATTTCTTCGAGGCCGCCGGGCGCACCCAGTAGATCGTCTTCGTCCTGCAGGACGAAGTCATCCTCGTAGCGGTCCAAATCATCATTGCCTGCAATGGATGATTCGACATCGCTGTCGTCGTTTCTGCTAAGCGATCGGTGCTTGATGGCGGCCGCGGCCTCTTCACTTTCCGCTGCGCTTTCGTTCTCCTCGCCTTCGCGTTCGTCTTCCTCCCCGCTCTCTTCTGCATCAACCTGAGATTCTTCCTCGTCCGATTCAGGCTTGCCTGCTCTGCGACGACGCAGAGCTTCCAGATGTTGCTGTCTTTGGGCTCTGGCGGAGTTTGCGAGACGGCCTCTGGTCCTGGTTTCCCTCACCACTGTAGTAGATGTCGTTAGTAGACTGTCGGATCCGGGAGAGAAAGAGAAAGCAGTACCTGAGTCTTGTAGAGCTTGGAGGTCCTCCTCAATGTCCAAGTCATCCTGGTCTCTGGCGCGACGCGGCGTCCGAGGCGCAGTCGGCAAATCATCATCGACGTCGTCCTCGACCTCTTCGACAAGCTGAGAAACAGTGCCCCGCCTGAGCTTTCGGCGAGGTCTGCTGACGATCTCATCACCGTCGCTGTCGTCTGATATGACTTGTAGAGATGGCTCCCTGTCGGAAGCCTCTTCTGATCTCTTTCGCTTCAGCGACGTTGGGGCAGATCGTTTGCGCGCGCTGCGAGTCATGTCGATGTCACTTTCACTATCCTGCTCTGGTGTGACAGCACGGTCGGGCGTTTGGTTTGAGTCTCCTGTTTGATTCCAATCGAGGTTAGCAGATGTCAAGCCATTCAACCCATTCGTCCATAGAGCATACCTTCGTGGTCCGTAGGAGAATTCTCTCGGGCGGGTTGCTTTGACTTCACCGTATCCGACTCTTTGGCCTCATCTTCAGCTGACTTCTCCCTTTTAGCTGACACAGAAGTCGCATGCCTTGAACCCTTCTTCCGCGAAGACCTGCGAGCGGGTTTCTGCTCCTCCACCGGTTGCGCCTCTTCCCCCTCATTGTCAGACGTCTCCTCAACTTTCACAATCAAAGCCGGCGCCATCTTCGCCCGCTTGCTGCCCTTCTTGGATCCTGAAGCGCCCTTCTGCTCCACCACCGAATGCGACTCACTCTCATCGTCGGATGATGTCTCAACCTTCACAACGGGAGCAGCAGGCGACGCCGCGCGATCTTTGTCCTTCTTATGTGTAGATTTGCGTGCGGATTGTTTCTTTACTGCCTTCGACGACACGGACTTCTTGTCTTTCGCTGGCTTTTCGACTTTCTTGACAAACGGTGACGGCGAGGCGGTGTCTGGCCTGGGGCGACTGGAGAGAATGGTGGGTCTGGAAGGATGCGAATAGCGGAGGGTGGCCCGGCGATCCCTCTCACCGTCCGAGGTGGTCTCATTCTGAATGGGAGAGGAGCCTATCGGGGCGAAGGCGAGTCGCGTCTGCTTCTTCTTGCCATATGTGCGGGGCATAGGGGATAGATGCAATGCAGCTTGGGAGGGAAATGGGGAGGTGGGGGTGGGGGTTGTACTGCACGTCGACAAGGTGGGAGGAGGGCCGGAGGAATCGGGTCGGCTTCTGCTGGGCAGCGGGCTGACTTCTGCGGCAACCAACCGCGGCGGGACCGCGTCGGAGGGTGGCACGAAAGCACGTGACCAGGGTGCAATATTGCCTAATGTGAGAGACTACGGAGTGCTTCTTTGGAAGTCGAGTGTGGTTCATAGGAGAGTCAGAGAATGTTCGTTCAAGCGCTGTATCCCGGTGAACAACTGCCGTGTGACACTTGATGATACTTTAGTGACAGCGCTATAATGAGAAAGCCAAAACGCACCGAGCCGACTGTCTATCCACTCTAGAGCACCCAAGCCTTTCAAGCTTCGATCAGCATATTCGACAATGAGCATGTGGCAAGATAGGCAGGAATGCCCTCTAGCAACGGTCGTGGCTTCCTCAGCAGTATCAGCTCCGCCTGTAACTTCTCACACTTGTGTAGCAGTCTCACCACCAATGCCGTGCTAGGTTTCTCGCAGATCCTCCTTCAGTTCTTTACCTTCGTATGACTTGTAAAGCTTACTTGCTGCATCTTAGACAACAGAATTGACGCCATAGAGATTTACCACACCTGCCAGTTTCGTGCATCCTCCATGTATTGTCAACAGCGATTCATTGCATTTCTTCAGGCCCTTCTAAGTGTGATATCAAATAGCACCCAAGAGCATCTCCCGCTGATCCCGCATCAAGCAAACGCGACCGAGAAGCCTTGTATCGGATGCAGTAACCTACTGGCCAGCATATCGGATTACGTCGCAGTGGCTGAATCTCACCATCCGGACGGACCAGGCTGCACGATCACCTTGGGAAATCCTGTGCAATGGAAAGCGAGCTCAATGCTTGACAGAGATGCAAAGGATGCGATCCCGGCCAAGAACGGGGTTGAGCCAGGTCTGAAGCTCACAGTGACAATAACGAACATAGAGAGGGGGTCTCTGGACCTGCAGAAATGCCAGAGTATCTTCGAAGAGCTGATCCTCGAGGGGCCAGGCAACCTTCTGCAGCAGCCGACACTACTCGACCGTTCACTGGCTGCTTTCCAAGGAGAGCATTCGGACCAAATTGATTCCACAGGCCAAGCCCTCAAACCAAGAAAAGTGCAAGAAGATCCTCCGGATGATCAACCTAACAAGAAACTTGCAAGCGATCCACACTCCCTGGGATATCATGGGATCCTGGAATACTTGCTTGGAAAGGAGAAAGGAACGAAGACTTCCAAAAGAGCCATAGAGCACTCAAACGTCGCCATGACTCGCACAGAACACAGACCTTCCTCCGTCCGTCAGAGCTCTCACAGACTTGACTCGGACTGTGAGAACATATGTGACGGGCATAGCTGGAGGAATACTCATGTGGCAAAATCCTCCCTGGGCCTTCAGCAAAGGCAGTGCGTGATGTGTCATTTCGACACAAATGTTGTTCGGGTTGACAGACGCCGCCCACAGAAGGCAAATGAACTCGATGTGTTCTATAAGATATGCGCAGTCTTCGGGGCATCAGTTATGGTGGCGACCCTCCTCTACGTCCTGCGGGAGATCTACCGACGGCTTCGCGTGCGATACTTGCTGCTTCGAGGCAGGAACCATCGCGATCAACGTGCCCCAAGCATAGCCAACAAGACACGGTGCTCCATTCCAGCCGATGAGATGACGACCTTGATGCCCGCGGCTTCGCGAGTTTGGGAAATACCCAGTCAAGCATCTGATATTGGGACCGAAGTTAGCGTGTCTGGTTCAGCCACCCAGCAGCGATATAGACGGTTCACTCCTTCTCAGCGAAACACCCGCAGGAAAGTTCAGGACATCTTTGATTTCGGTTCGTCTCAGGCGTGCAAGAACAATTTGACGACCGAGGAGAGGATTCCTGTGCTTTCGCCAGCCGCGAACGCGAGTGTACGGAGGAACGTTAACATCTGGCAGGCTCCCAAGGGACAACGGTGTGCGGTCAACGATGAAAAGGCGGGCATCACGCACAGCAACGCATTTCTTTTTTAGGATCGGCGCTAGCCCGGTATTCTTGGGGATCTGGGATACCTGGGATTTGATTCTCATCGGACAGGAGTTCTGGTGGTCTTCAGCTGTGGAAATTTGTGGCCGCAATGGGACTAGCGAGATTGGCCAGAGACAAGGCCTCGGTTAATATACGGGTATATGGACAGACCGGCCTCGACTGTATGCATTAGGAATGGTATCGTTCGTGTGGCTGTTTGTGTCGCCCCATTTTGGCCCAGTAGACTAGCCCTGTAGATCCGGATCTCGTCGAGCGACATAGGATCAGCCCGTATCCCAGGAACCTTGGGGATAGCCATCTGCGTCTGCGTCAACCTCGTGGCATCGATGTGAACCTGACTGTAGGGTTGACAGATGGGGAGATCTCATTCGGGGGTAAATTGGCTTGGGGGATGGAATGGGGATGGAGGAACGGAGGAGAGTAGAGAGGGGTCTCGTGACCGGTGATGGAGGAATCTGTCTTGTCTTGGTTCTTGCGCTCTTCAGCTTCCTTCTTCCTCACCTCTCGTCTCCTCTTCTCCTCTTCTCCTCTTCGCCTCTTCGCCGCCAATCGCCTCCGCACCTCCTCACCTGATCCTTTCTCTATCCATTCCCCTCTCCATGTGAAAGTACGACAAGTCTTGAATTAATCTATTATGCCATTTCCATTGGTGGATCCCGATTAGCCCCCGTTTGGCGTTCTTGCCGCGGCTGATTCGTGGGAAATGGGATGACTTGGGCCGTGTGTTGGGGAGAATTTCCTCGAATCTCGACCCCGGATTTCTCCACGATACGACAACCCCGACAATGGGTCCCGTCTGGGGAATTGCTCCATCCATCCCCATCGCTGGTTTGCGCGCACCCCGGAATCCCCACTCCACCCCGACTCAAATCCTGGAGACTGGAGACAACTGTCGGGGAAAACCTGTCAAGGTCGGTTCGTGCATGCACAGGTCTGGGGTCTGGGGGAGCTCTGGCCCCCCCGCCTTTCCTCCAATTTTCGCCTCCCCACCAGGGTTGCGTTCGGTTTAGCGTCCACTCTAAATGCTGCATGGGATGATGCTAGGGCGTAGGATGGCTTGATATAGCGCTTGCCACCTGGCTGCTGGCACGCGGCATGGTAGCTTATCTGCTTATGGTCATCCTGGTTCGAGTTCGGCCGCCTCGCATATTTATACCCACAGCCCACGTCGCCTGCTGCATCTTCTCTTTCCTTCTCTTTTCTGTCTGTGTCTTGCGCTTCTCATCATCAGTCCTTTGCAGCCCCGGTTGGCTTTAAGAGGTGGCCCTTCAGGACGACCACCCGGTGAATCTCACCTATTCGTTCTTGTTCTATCCTCCCTCCTTTAGACTGTCTCAGAAACCCCGTCGTCAAGATGATTGAAAAATTTATGTCAAAGCGAGGCTACAACTGGTGAGTCTTGCTCGTTCAGCAGGCTATTTTCACTCTCCTTCTCATTAGTCGTTCTCCAGGTTCATTTCCTTAGTTGCGGCAGCATGCATGGTGCTTTATGGTTATGATGCTTCAGTCTACAACTCTGTCCAGGGCTCGGACAACTGGACGGCCTACTTCCATAACCCGGACAACAATATGATTGGAGCCGTCAACACAGCCTACACTGTGGGTGCGATTTTCGGTGGTTTCTTCCTCGGTGGTCCCATTGCCGATTTCCTTGGCCGCAAGATCGGAATGGCCATTGGCTGTGTCTTGGTCATTGCTGCCACCTTCATGCAGTGCTGGTCGCCGCGGGGCAGTATCGCTTGCTTCCTTGCTGGACGCTGTATTATCGGTATTGGCCAGGGTATTGCATTGAGTGAGTGACATGCGAGACATCCTATCAATCCAGGATTGCAGCTAACCGTGTATGTTCTCCAGCTGCCGGTCCTATCTACATCGGTGAACTTGCACCGCCCGAGATCCGCGGAAAGATCATGACTTTCTGGCAGATGTTCTACTCTGTTGGCTCTTTCATCTGCTTCTGGATCAACTATGGCTGCACGAAGCATTCAAAGAGCCTGGGAGAGTGGGACTGGAAGCTGGTCGTCATATTCCAGCTTCTCGTTCCCGTCATTATTCTAGCTATTCTGCCTACCATTCCCGGCTCGCCTCGCTGGTATGTTTGTCACTTTTCGTTTCTTTTTTCCTTTTTCGATCAATGACAAAAACGGACCTTGCTGATCTTTTCATAGGTACGTCCAGCGTAAAGACGATATTGAAAAGGCGCGCTCGGCTCTCCGCAGAGTCCGTGAGACCGACGAAGAGGTCGAGGAGGAGCTGCTCAAGATCCGGGAAGCCCTCGAATACGAGAAGGAGGCCATCTCGAGCAACTACAGTGCGCTCTGGAAGGACAAGTCCCTCCGCAAGCGTATGGGATTAGCCCTGGTCATCAACGCCGGTCAACAAATCACCGGGCAAGGAACCCTCAACACCTACTCCACCAAGATCTACGAGAAGGTCTTCACGAGCGCCAGCAAAATCGCCCTGATCAACGCCCTCAACGCCACCTTCGGTATCCTGTTTACTCTGAACGCCGTCTGGGTCATCGACCGCTTCGGACGCAAATTCCTCCTGATTGTCGGTGGTATCGGGATGGGGATCTGCATGATCATCGTGTCTGCCGTCGAGACCGAGACCCCGTCGCCGGGTGGTGCGAAGACGGAGTCGGTGGGCATATCGATCGTGTTCTTGCTGTTCCTGTTCATCTTCTTCTGTAAGTGCCGTCCCCGTCGTTTGCGGATAAGCAATTCACCACTAACGGGCGACAGACAAACCATCGTGGGGAGCCACCGTCTGGATCTGGACGTCCGAGGTCTTCTCCATGAACGTCCGCGCGCAGGCCGTGGGCATGGCCTCGCAGACCCAGAACGTCGCCAACGCCATCGTGCAGCAGTTCTTCCCCACCTTCCTCAACAACTGCGGGTTCTACGCGTTCTACATGTTCGCAGGCATCAACTTCCTGCTCGCGCTCTTTGTCTGGTTCTTCATCCCGGAGACCAAGCAGGTCCCGCTCGAGGAGATCGACGCGCTTTTTGGGGGGGCCAACCACGTCACGCAGGGCGAGGACCTGTTTGCCCACGAGAAGTCGATGCGCGTGACCAGCGAGAAGCCGTACGCCACGACGGTCGAAGATGCACGGGTTTAGATTTTTTGGGGGGATTGCCTGAGATCGTTCGCCTGATTAGTTGTATATACACTAACTACTGTGGTAGCTGGAATAATAGTATTGATGATACCCGGTTGGGATTTGCCATAGTGCTCAATTGACGTAGAGTGATCCAAGAGTGCTCATGATATCTCACTCCTTCAGCGTATATACACCGTCCTCGTAATCCTTCGACCAGACAATCGCGCTGTCTCGCTCACACACTCCCACCGTACAACAGAGACCCCCTCCAGATGGAACTCATATTCCCACGTAGCACCATCACTATTCTCCCCAGTGCCACAGACACGATACCACCTATGCCCACTATCTTTCCCACCTACTTCCTTCTGACCAAGTCCACCATCAAACCCCGCAACAATCAACCTCGCCTGCGAGATTTGTATCCCATGCGAGAACCGCTCCACCGGAGGTGTATTTCCATCACCCCCAGCACGAGCCTCGGCATCACCATCCCAAACATGGATCCATCCGCTCCGCTTGCGGTCCACGAATGCAGACCCTACTCCATCGCCGAGAAGGCGATACACTCCCCGCTTTATCCTGTCCTCTAGGATGATACTGCTCCTGCGTGATGGCTCTGTGGAATCTGGTCGCGGGAGTTGAGTTTGGGGTTGAGACCGGGGTTCATCCTGGGGTGCATCCTGGGATTCAGTCTCCGTGTAAAGATACTCGCGCTCGTACCCGCACCCGGGCCGGGTGACGTAGCGGGGTTTGAAGGTCGCGGATCCGGTTGTCGTTCGGACTGTCTTGTTATCTGATTGTTCTGATATCGGAGCAGAGGACTCTCGCTCTGGGATTGTTGATGTTGTCGTGCGGGAGAAGTGCCACGCGCCGTGTAGGGCTCGGAAGATGGCTGTTGCTGTTGCTGTTGCTGTGCGAGGGGTCGGGGAGAGGGTGGTGGCTAGGGAGGTTAGGGTCTTTGTGGGGTCATCGGGGGGTGGAGAGGATGCTGAGGGATAGGGATAGGGGTATCTAGCCGGTATAACGGGGTCAAGCAGCGTGTTCGGCTGGTCTGCGTCTGAGTCAAGGTCTGGGTCTGGGTTTCGGCTTGGGTTTAGGACAGGCAGCCGAGAAATCCCCAGCTCCCTGGCGAAGGCCTCCATGAGGCCGACGTAGTCGCCCATGGGGAACTGGCTCCGTTGCCTGGTTTGGTTGCGGAGGCGGCGCAGTTTCTCTCGTTCTCGTTCGGTTTCCTTCCCGGTTTCATCATCAGCAAGGGCAGGGGAGCGGTCTGGTGCTGGATGCTCCGCTGGCGATGTACTCCAGCGCGCGGCCAGACTCCGCGCTTGCATCTCCATGACCCCCCAGTAGGGACCGCGGTAGAAGCCCACGAACCCCAGGTCCGGAATTTCGGAGTGTGAGGTGCCCTTGTTGTTGAGGATGAGGGGGACGAATGCGTCGTCGGGGGAGTATTCAAGGGTAGAGAGGACGGAGGGCGGGAGGAAGGCGAGCGAGTCGCTGGGCGTGAAGCCCGTGGCGAGGATGATGGCGGCGACATCTTCCAGGACGCTGGTCTCGCCGTTCGGCAGCGTGATCTCTAGACCGGCGCGATTGTTCGAGGGGGTGGGGGTCAGGTGGGCGACGCGGCCGATGGTGACTTTCACCGCACCGGCGCGCACGTATTCCGCGTAGTCGTTGCCGATGGCCACCCACGAGGGTTGCATTTCCGTCGAGATGCCAAAGCTCCCGATCCGAGCGTACTCGCTGCCCAGCAACTGGCCGAACCAGGCGTTCGATCTAGAGATCTGGTCCGGAGAGAGCGGGCCAACTGCGTACTCGATTGGGCCCGGGGGGCGGCGGGCGCGGTCGTAGAAGACGAGGTCGAGGGGGAGGAAATTCACAGGAGTTCCGGGTGCTTGGTCCGGGGTTGGCTTGGGTAAATAGGTCGGAACCGTCCAGAACGGACGCGAGCAGATGTGATGGACTTCGAGCTGCCCAGGCTCAGGGTTCATGGAAGAGAGGTGCAACGCCACCGCCGACGCAGTCTCCACGCCGGACATGCTGCCCCCGACGACGACCAGCTTCCCCCCAGCAGCAGCACCATCATCACCAGATGTCCCAACCCGAACACGCTCCAACAAAGCCCGCAGATCATCTATCTCCTGCACCGCAGAACTATGCACCGCCCTCTCCTCCGCAAACACCCCCGTCAACCCAGGGATATCCGGTATAAACGGCCGCGCAAAGTACCCCGACGCGACGACGAGGTAGTCGAAGTACTCCGTCTGGCGTTGTGGCGTAGTTGGATCCCCATCCCCATCCCTACAAAATCGTCAGCAAGCAACTCTCACCCCGCATCGAATCCGAAAAATGAACCCTCCCTGCACCCACTCCACCACCCACCCGGCCCCAGCCCCAGCCCCAACCCCCGAATCCGCATCCGCACGAACAACCCCGGTAACCTCACACCCCACCCTAACCACCATACCCCCCTCCTCATCCTCCTCCTCCTCCTCCTCCTCCTCCTCCCGCAAAAGAAACCGCTGGGCATACGCATCCAGATATCGCCTTACCTGCCTCGCGCGCGGAAACATCGGCGGCGGCGGCGCCTGCTCACCACCATGGCCATCACCCCCGGCATCATTCCCGAGGACCGTCTCCCACCCGAGATCCGAGAAAGCAACCGTATACCGACTCAGATTCGTGGGCATGGCGGGACGGACGCTCACGGACGCTCTCTCGCGCGGAGTTGGAGTGCAACTCGTGTGCTGAGCGGTGCCCGTACCCGCTCCATCTGTCTCGGGGATGTCGGTGGCCCAGAGCCCGCCGATACGATCGGTTTTCTCGAAGATCGTGGGAGTAAACAATCCCGTGGGGGTGCTGTGGAGGAGGGTTTTGGCGGTGACGAGGCCGGCGGGGCCGGCGCCTTGTCCATATATGTTCGTATTAGTTTTGGGGGGGGGGAATTGGGGCTGGGGGGGGGATGGGCGTACCGATGATGGCTACTTTCTTCGGGTGGGGTTGGGGTTGGGGCATGTTGTCGCGAGGTGGTGAGGTGAGGTGAGGTGAGGTGAGGTGAGGACTCCGTATTGTAGATAGATAAGTTGGTGAGTGTAAGGGAGGATTACCCCTCACCGTCCCCCGCACTACTACTTACATTGCACTAGATTTCCCCACTTGGGTAACGTAGGCAGTCTGCCGTGCTTACGGCACCGTTGGCCCCACGCTGCAGATACTAAGGCTAGGATTTGTGGGAAGGGAAGCTTATCTTGTTAGTTAATTTCTCTATCAGCTTTCTATATATAATCTTAACATCTACACTGTGCGAGAAAATAAGAACAGAAAAAAACAGGAACCAAGTGTGTCGTTACATTCATTCCAAATACAGGGCCCATGCTAATTGTCGAAGCAGGAATATGTGCATAGTGTACAGCCGTATCTGCGGGCTGAAGGGATATTGATGAAGGTGGGTTGGGGGTATATCGTTCGATCACTCCTATATGTCACGGACATGATCGAGAGGGGGTTGAAGTTGAAGACGAGATATCTGTCCGTGCTCGACGGGTCACGGTAGGGAGCTCCATCACGGATGATACCTCAAGTGATACTGGAGTGCAAGCCACCGAGTGCGCTCACAGACGGTGCTGCAGCGGCGAAGCAGGCGCAGGAGTCTCCACCGCCGGGGAGGCCAGCGGCGTATACGAAACCGAAGGCGACACATCCTTCAACTCCAACCGGGTGACGAGCTTCTTCCACGACTCGAGACCGCGCAGGGCGTGCTGCTTCGGGGTATCGGGGTGGGGGTCGGCGAGGGTGCGGGAGAACAGCTCGAGGGAGACCCAGCCCTCGAAGCCGGTATCGAAGAAAGCCTGGGCGACCTCCTGGACCGGCAGGTAGCCACCGCGGTCCTCCTCGAAGGCGAACAGGCGGGCGTTGCGCGACCAGTTCATACGGGTGGGCTGGCCGGGGACGTGGAAGGGGTGGGCCTCGTCGAGGGGGGCGCTCAGGCGCTCGCCGTCGACGATCTGGATGTAGAAGACCTTCTTGACATCAACGCAGGCGCGCAGCTTGGCCAGCGAGGCGGCCAGGTCGGCCTCGGCGTTGGGAGTCTTGCCGCTGGGGTGGGCCGGGTCCGCGTATACGCGCCCGGCCAGGTTGAAGGTGTCCAGACACAGGCCAAAATTGGGGCGGTCGACCTGCTGCACCACCTCCCACGAGGCGTCCCACGTGTCGACGTGGTTGCCCCAGCAGAGCGCCTCGTAGACGAACCGGAAGGGCGGCGACTGCTGCAACCCCAGGTCGGCCACCCGCTGCAGGTCGGCCACGATCACGCGGCGGTCGCCCGTCGTGCGCAGCTGGCCCGTCGCCGGGTCCGCCAGCAGGAAGTTGGAGGGGATCTGGATCAGGTCGGTGTCGAGGATGCGCGCCAGCTCGAACCACCGCGGCAGCTTCTCGGTGACCATGCGCTCCGACTCCGCCCGGTCCAGCAGCCCCTCGTAGAAGGAGAAGGGCTGCAGGCAGATGATGCTCAGCCCCAGCGAGTCGCACAGCCGGCGCACCTGCTTGGCCGCCGCGGCGTGGTCGCCCTGGAACAGGGTTTTGGCGAAGTGGTCGAGATCGTCGAAGAACAGCTCAATGCCCTCGTAGCCGTGCAGAGCAGCCTGGTGCAGCTTGCCGGAAAGACTGTGAATGCCCGGTCGACCCAGCGACATCGAGGCAATTCCCAAACGGTTCGGCATGTTGTACGGTGTAAATGAGATGGATTGATGAACGGGAGGGAGATATGGAGAAGGAGGAAAAGGGGGAGAAAAGAACTTTTGAAGGGGAAGGAAGTTGAGGCCGGAGGGGGGGAGGGGGGATCTATATTATGACCTGTCGAAAAGATATGATGTGATAGATACGAGGGTTTGGAATGTTATCGTGACGAATGGACGAATGAACGGGCCGCGTCACCTATTTCTAAGCGTTTCGGTTCAGGGGGGAAGAAAAGAGAGAGTGCTAAAAAAGCAATTTGTTGATAAAGCGCAAATGGCCGAGGGAAGGCTCATGTATTGGGGGCAGATGCCTTATACTCTTTCCCACCCTAATGGAGACCATGCAGGTGGAAGGTGGAGGAGATCCATTCTTGCAGGGCTTGGGGAAGAATGATTGTCGGCAGAACCCAGTTAGGGCTGGCGGATTGTTCTCTGCTCTGGTCAGTGGTCCGAGTCCGTGACGGGCGGCCGGGAAAGCGCTTTGCCCAGCCACTTCCTCCTCTGCATTTATCCGTCCGTCACACAATAGTGACAAGAGTGCGGCAGTGGCGTCGGGAGACCGCGGGACTGACTGCATCCTCCCTCATTCCCTTTTCAACCCTTTATCCCCCCTTGTCCACCTATGGTACTCTCTCCGTGTTCATGTTTTTGCCTGCCAGTCAGATTGTCAAAAGATCAGGCACCTGAGTGTTTGTTGGTAATACAATCACTCTCACCTGGCTCTATCGCTCACTCGCGCCCCTGCAACCGCCACCGCCATCGTGTCTTCCTACTTCCTCAAACCTTGATGCTACACATCCCGGGTTGCGTGCCTTGGCCATGGCACCGCCAAGGGCGTACCAAGAGATGGCTCACCGCTCCCTACCAATAGAGTTTTCATGGCCCAAGATCTGATACGACGGACAATCAAACAGATTATCAAGAATCTAACCAGGTCTGTCATAAACAATAGGTATGTTGATTATCGAACAATCGTGATATCCAAGACAATAATAAAGGAAATACATTAACAGTCATCCGTAGGTCATTGTTAGCCCACCAGGCTAAAATGTTGGGGAACACATCAAAAATCCACAAGCAAGGCATTAGACCTTGTTCGCCGTGTCTTCCACCTGATGCACCTCCGACTTGGTGAAGCCGGACTCCTCCAGGTCGCGGCGGAACCGCTCTTCGTCCTCGCGCATCTGCTCCAGAACGATGCCGTGCGCCTTCCACACGGGCTTGATCTCAAACAAGGGATCCATGTTCTCCAGCGGAACACCCTTCGTCTCGGGGATCAAGAAGTACACGAAGATGAACGAAAGGATCATCAAGGAGGCGAAGAAGAAGTACACGCCATAATCCATCTTCTCGAACATCTGCGGCGTGAACCGCGAGATGAGGAAGTTCCAGAGCCAGTTGGATCCCGCGGCGCAGGCTTGAGCCAGCGACCGCACATTGGGGTCAAACATTTCCTAGAATGGCCGGTTAGCTTCGATCGGTCGGCCGTGGAGCAGCAGGGAGAGCTTACCGAGTTGATCACCCAGGGAGTACCGTTCCAGGTGGGGGTGTAAAACGCCGTCCACAGGTAGAAGAAGAAGATGGCAGCGATGCCGCCGCCGTTGAGCGACTGAGTGTTGTTGTTCACGGGATCCGCGATCTTGATGTACGCGCCAATGATCCACATACACACGGAACCGCCAATGGCACCGATCAGCAGGAGGTTGCGTCTTCCCACCCGGTCGATCAGCCAGAGGAGCCAGACGAAAGTCACTAGGGTCTTGACCACCCCGAAAATACCCGTGGTCAACAGACTCGAGTTGGTGCCCTTCAGGCCGATCGATTTGAACACGGTAGGTGAGTAGTAGTTAATGGCGTTAATGCCCGAGCCGTTCTGCCAGAAGAAGAGCATGCTGCCGAGGAACAGCCGGTACAGGATCTTCTTGTTCGTCCAGGCGGCCTTGAAAGGCTTCCAGAAGCCCAGTCCGATCGAGTTCCGCTGCGCTTCAATGGACTGGTCGATGGCACCGATCTCTTCCATCATGTAGATGTGGTCCTCGGAGATCTGGCGGATCCAGCAGAGGTTCTTGATGGCCTCCTCGCGTCTCCCACGGAGGAACAGCCAACGCGGCGACTCCCGAACGAAGACGATACCGATAAGTAGCAGACCCGCAGGAATCAGCTGCACGGCAAAGGGGATGATCCATTGCTTGTGGCTGGGAGCCAGCGTCTCACTGACACCATACTGTTTTCGCATGGTTAGCCCGAGTCCAGTAAAAATAGACGTAGATAAGACTCACGTTGATCCAGAAGCCGACCAGGCCACCGATTTGCCACCCCAGCTCATAGACACCGACCAACCGGCCGCGGATGGCAGGCGGGGCCAATTCGGAGATGTAGATGGGCGTGATGTTAGACCCAGCGCCTACGCCAATTCCAGCCAGGACACGACCAACGTAGAGAAGGCCCAGACCCCGGTCGGCGTTGACACCCAGCATCAAGCCCGCCCCCAGAATGAAAACCAGGGCAGAAGCGAGCAAGCCCCACTTCCTACCCCAGAAATGCCCGATCGGGTACGCAAAGAATGCTCCGAAGAAGGCCCCAGCTTGGTAGCAGGAGACGATGTTGGCACTGACCAGGTTCTGGGTGGCCTTGGACATGGAAGCCCAGTCGAATTCGTCCTTGAAGGACTGCAGCGACAGCGTTGTCCCAATGAAGGCACTGTCGTATCCGATCATGCATGATGTGAACGAGGCGACCGCCGCCAAGAGATAGATTCTCCAGTTGTAGACCTCCTTAGGCGTCGGCCTATCCTCGACCATGGAGAGAATGCCCATGATGGATGATGATCACCCCCTGGAGTTAGAGATTTGTTTAGATTTGTGTCTTGTTGATGGGGGGGGCAAAGACGGGAGAAGGCTAGGGGAAGGAGAAAACAGAGAAGAAGGGTAGAGAGTAACGAGCTAGGTGAGAGGTGTTTGAGGGTCGTGCTGATCTGAGAGAGATGTTGATGATGGTGAAAAGGAAACAAATCCTCCTCCTCGAGGAAGTGGGCTTATATAGCTCAGACTACCTTCCCCAGCCTAAGCAAAATCCGGGGTGCGGAGGGAGGCAAAACTCAGGCAAATCAAAACCCCAGATATCAAAGGACTACACCAGAGAAAGTATCGTGGAAAAACGATGAGCGGGAAAACGATCCATGCGCAGAGCAGAGAGTAAACACGCCCAGCGAATTTTGCAGCGGGCAGCAACAGCAGGCCAAGGGAATGGGAAGGAGAAGCGCAAAGTCTGTCACCACGTGTGCTGGGGCACGATTGGACCTAGACCAGCTTGGCCCTCGCCAGACCGTAGACCGTGACTAACTCGCACCACGGACAGGAAAAAGCATGTCATGTGCCCCCGGACTGCGTCTATTGGGGCCAGAGGGTGCGCTCCCCCATGGGATCTGAGGCCGATGTTCGGCCTGGCGTATCCACTTGGGAGGAACAGGAAACTTAGAAAGCAGCAGATTAGGCGAGGGGCGGGCGTGTCAGTTTGTGGGGAGGGGGGGCGGACTTGGATGGGAATGGGAATGTCGCGCGTCGCCCACAGAAACCGACGGGCTCAACCCGTGGGAAACTGAGATGCAAGCCCCAAGGCTTCGCATTCAGCGGACTCTGGGCCCAACCCTAAGCGGGAGGTGATACGAAGATCGCACATTACGCGGGCCAATGAACAGAGGCCGATAGCGACAGTGGCTGGGGAAAGTGCTTCGCCGGCGAAGGTCTCCCCGTGGGGAAGAAGGAAGAAGAACAACAGAGTGTGACAGAGACTAAAGCCGCGCCGTCGGAGTTCTCGGGGATTAGCGAGTGGCGGGAAAAGGGTTCTGCCCGTTGGCTGCGTGAGTTCATGCCGCTGCAGCAGTCGGCCAGTCTGGCAGTGGATCCATGCCATCGAGCGTGATCCACTCACCATCAGCCTATTTTCCATGTCCCAGGAACCGAGTGAGGGGCAACGGAAGAGAGATTGAGAGCACAGCACTTGGCCGTAGCCAGCAGCCAGCAGCCAGTAGCCAGTAGGTGGAGGTGGGGTTGACACAGGAAGAATGGAGAAGAAGAGGGGCAGAGCAGAGCAGAGCAGAAAAAGGAAGAGCCGGGAGAGTGGAGGTAAAAGTCAAAGCCGAAAGATCTCTCCCGCAACCAGAAAAAAAGTCTCGTGGGAGCCTCGACACCTGAGGGAGAGAGGGGATTGAGCCCCCCTCGTCATTGGCCTTAAATGTTTCCCTTTCTCTCCTTCTCTACTCTCTCAATCCTCTCCTCCCTCCTCCTCCTCCTCCTTCTTCTTCTTCTTCTCGTTACAAGGAACGCAATTGCAGGCAATTCACTTCTTTTTGTCTTCCTCTTCCAACCCAAACACCACAACCTCCACCATGACCTCCACGAACAACCAACCCGAAGAGCCCATCACCATTCCCGCGGACCGGGATGGAGTCGCCTACCTGTACGGCCACCCGCTGCTGAACTCGCTTTCGCCCCCTCTACACAAGACCGTCTACGAGAAGCTGGGACTGAACTGGATTCAGATCCCGCTGTCGAGCGTGACGGGCACGTCGGAGACCTACCCACCCCCTTACACGCGGTCGCCGCCGATCGACAAGTTCCTGGCGTCGATCCGGGCGAACCCCAAGTTCGTGGGGTCGTCGGTGACGATGCCGTGGAAGGTGGCGATCATGCCGCACCTGGATGAGCTGACGGAGGACGCGCGGCAAGCCGGGGCGTGCAACACGATCTTCCTGCGGACCGACGAGAAGACCGGGGAGCGGCGGTACGTGGGCACCAACACCGACTGCAACGGCATCCGGGAGGCGCTGGTGCAGAACTCGCCGGACCCGGCGGGCTTCCGCGGCAAGCCCGCGCTGGTCGTGGGCGGCGGCGGCACCGCCCGCACCGCCGTCTACGTCTTCCGCAAGTGGCTCGGCGCCAGCCAGATCTACATCGTCAACCGCGACGCCGCCGAGGTCGCCGCCATCCTGGAGGAGGACCGCCAGCGTAACGCCGGCGTCGACAGCGGCAGTCTCGCCCCAATCATCCCCGTCACCGACCCCGCCGTCGCCGCCTCCCTCGAGACCCCCGCCGCCATCGTCTCCGGCATCCCCAACTACCCGCCCAAGAGCCCCGAGGAGATCAACGCCCGCCAGGTGCTGCAGGCTCTGCTCGGGAGCAAGGACGACGCCAAGCCCAAGGGCGTCATCCTGGAGATGTGCTACCACCCCGTCCCCTGGACCGAGATCGCCGAGCTCGCCGACGCCGCCGGCTGGAAGGTCATCCAGGGCTCCGAGGCCCTGATCTGGCAGGGTCTGGAGCAGGCGCGGCTCTGGACCGGCCGCGATATCATCGGCACCCCTGGAGTCGTCGATGCGGTCAAGGACCTGGTCGCCAAGACGATCGCCGAGCGGACGCAGCCCAAGTCTGCTTAGTTTTGGTTGCTGATGACACCTTCATGGTTTTATGATTTCTTGTACAGAACTCTAGCATACCCGGAGCATTTGCTTGTTGTTAAAAGAATATACAAAAAAGGAAATAGATGACTTGTATATATTGGCCTCTTGACATGATTCGTGTCCCATCTTTATCAGTCTAGTAGGCGACGGTATATTCACTGTATGCTGCTGTTTCCGTAAAGTATCTATCTGTATTGCGGCATGACTTAGGCCCCCGGGCGGGAGAAGTCCAACTGCCGCACGCGCTTCCATACTTCGCGCACCGTGCGCTCTTGCGATTGACGCCCAGTCTCGGTCTCGGACGGTCCAGCGGGTCTGCTATTGTCAATCACCAGTATTTTACCTTTGGGGGGGGTACAATCACAAACCTAATACCAAGATACAACCGACTTCCCAACTTGTACTCCTCAATAGGAGCTGTCTCCGGATCCTCGGGGGGGTTAGCCGTCGTGACCAACCCACCCGCCTCCAGAAGAATGGCAATGCCCGCAGCGACATCCCTAGTATGCCTGGTCAGTATTTCACCCCCAGACAAATAGCCAAAGCCAGCAAAGCAACAACTCACCACTCCCAACAACCGCCCTCCCACCAGATATCAAACGACCCCATGGCCGTGTAGGCGAGATCGAGGGTGGCGCTGCCCAGACTGCGCACGCCGTGCACCATGCCGCCCTTGCCGCCGCGGCTGCCCGTCTCGGCCGCCAGGTTCAGGAAACTCTCGATCTTGCGGTACATGTTGCCGTCAGGGATGTCGCGGCGGTCCTTGCCCCACTCGCAGGAGAGGATGCACTTGCCGGGGGCGGTGGGGGGCATCGGCGGGATAGACGGCTTGTGGATGAGCGGCAGGCGGCGCTTCTCGTTCAGCCAGGCGCCGCGGTTGACGCACGAGGAGAACAGTTGGTCCTGGAAGGGGGCGTAGATGACGCCGATGACCGGGCGGTGGTTGACGATGAAGCCGATCGAGACGCAGAACATAGGGAAGATGTGCGTGAAGTTGACGGTTCCTGGGGGGGGTTAGTCTTCTACGGTTGATGGGTGCAGATGGGGCACCTACCGTCAAGAGGGTCGATACACCATGTCGGCTGCTCGTCGATCAGGTACTCGCGGGACTGGCCCTTGGCGTATGATTCTTCGCCGAGGAATCTGCATTCGTCGGTTAGTCAGTGGATCCCGGCAGGACTGCATGAGATATGGGAGAACGCACTTGTGTGCGGGGTATCGGTCGTGGATGGAGCTCTTGATGAATGCTTCGACATCTGGAATGCAGTGAGCTTGGTGCGCGGCGCTATGTTTGGGAAGGTGAAAAGAAAGGGGGGTCTGGGGGTTCTCCCCCAGGAAGCCGTTATTGGAGACTTGGCCGGGGTAGGCGTTCCGGGGGAGAACCCCCAGACCCCCCTTTTCTTTCAACTTCCTGGATAGGAGGTATTTCGGGGCGTGGTGTATAGCAATGAGGGGATCGCGCACCTTCGTCCGTCTGAGTCACAATGTCCACCGCGCTGTCTTTCTCCTCGATCGTTTGGCTTCCACCATCGAGCCGCTTCTCGACGCTCTCGAGCAGCAGCTGGCCGGCCTTGCGCCCGAGATCCACCGCGAAGGCGTAGATCTCGTCCAGCTGCTCCTGGCTGAACTCGGGGGCTGCCATTATCACTTGGTGTTGGATGCGGGGTAGGTTGGGTCCGTCACTGGGTGGGTCGCTTCCGTGTACGCACAGTTCGGTGCACAGTTCAGCAGAGACAGTGTCTAGTCTATAGTCTAGGGTGTATATGCAGGGTATGAGGCAGAACAAGACACGAGGATAGAGGCGAGCACGACGTTGCGATGAAGAGCGAGCAAGCTCGGAGCGGCGATAGTGAGGAGGTTTCCCGCTTCTTTCACCGCTGATAACCGACTTATCAGTGGGGCCCTGCTCCCTCACGTGGGTCATCCGACTGTTGATATGCAATCGGTAAGCATCAATGCATTGCCACTGGTTGAGTAGTTGCAATTGATCTTTATAGTTTGTACGAAGATCTAGCTGCTCCAGTTGCCCTATCTTGCAAAGCTTAATGATCTCGCGTAAGTCCCTATTCATGCAAGTAAATAAAAAGAACGCCAAGCAAGTTTATTTACTCTGCTGCTATTCACGGGTCGCACCGCTGACACAGATGAGTGATGTCGAGGAATCGCATTCCCGGTTGACCATGAGCGCTAAACTTGCATGTTTATATTGTAAGTACTGTACCTTCGATGGTGTCAGAGAACCTCTCATTCTGCGCTGTCTTTCTCGGCCCTTTCCAACCCGGCAGAGTCATTGACAGCAATTGACAGCAGTACTGAGTCCCTGTTAAATCCAGGCCATACTACAAACACCACTGGATTTTGTTAATTTGTCTTAGAACACTCTATCTATATTCTTAACCCCGAGAGGCATACAACAGCGTGGATAATAAGGCACGTGCATGAGTCCCAGCTCCTGCCCAGTGCCCTGCCCCCATTCTCGCCACTGGAGCTCAATTGCTCAGTCAAATCAAGGCAAACAAATATGGGGAAGGGGATCGATCGTCTCATGGCTCGATTCCACCCTGCCCAAGCCCTGTCCGAAGGGAGATTAATACAGCGACAGTTTATGAGTGACTCAAAACTCTGCCAGTCAAAGTGGAGCCGGAGCCGGCAGTTCCACGAGATCGAGGGTGATCTGGTCTAGCGATGGGTAGGTAGGGCCAGTCCCAGGCCCCAAAATCAAACAGAATGCATGTATGCATGCACGCACCTTGCAAATATGTGATAGTAGCTACTAAAGAAAATAGAGCATGAGATATGAGTAGAAACCCCTGAAATCAGGCTTGGAATCCCTCAATGTCAAAGCCATTCGAATGAGAAGAAACCAACAAAACCACACGGCGCTGAACCAACCCCTTCCACCTCCCCACAAACCGACCACTGGTATCCTGAGTGGACTACTCACTCACCCAGCAAAGTCACCTGCTCCTCAGAAACTGCTTATCCACCATTCGCAGCTCAAGGCCAGCGGTATCGTTACGAGGAAGTGTAAGCGTAAGGGTAAGTTCGGCTCGGCAGGCTCGGCACCCCCCCGCACATTCTTACATGCAATAAGCCGGCAAAGCCCTTTCCCTTACGCTCGGGAAAGCCTTTTACCTCTGCAGTGCAGTGCCTCGGCTCGCGGCGCAACCTACTTCTACATACGCTTGCTTTGCATTACATTCCACTGGCTGTGCATATCCAGAATAGACAGAGTAACAGTGACAACCAGCCAATCTGATTGAGCCCAAGGAGTTGCGCTGCGCTGAATAATGCATGCATGCGTGCAGGATATCCGGGTTGTAAGGTAGTAGGGACCAACACTTCTCCGCAGTCTGCAACTGGGTGCGGTGCGCATTCTCCAAGATCGATGTCCGGATAGTCGACAGTGTATGTACAGACGCCACGGAGATACAATGCAAGAAGCGTCGATTAGAGCAATTCAGCACCGCCACTGCACAGCATTAAATAGAGCCAGCTGTGTGAGCGCCCATAGATCCTCAAAGTGGTAAGTGAAAATCGGCAAAGCCCAGGATAAGAAATAAGCCTTGCTTGCCTGCTCTGCCAGCTCCAGCACCGAAAATAAATGGGTTTAACCCCGCATTTCCACTCGTTTTTCCAATTGCCCGCACCACTCCGACCGCTTCGACCAGTGGCTTCTTCCCAGGAATAAGTTCTTAAGCAGGCACTAGACTTCTAACCCCAGTTCTTTTTCCCAATCTTCCAACCCATCTCCTCCCACCCCACACCATACAACCTCATCCACCATAACCACCACACCACCAACCCTCAACCATCCTACGCAACAATGACCACCCCCGCCCCCAAGAAAATCCTCCTCCTCAACGGCCCCAACCTCAACCTCCTCGGCACCCGCGAACCGCACATCTACGGCAGCACGACCCTGCCCGAAGTCGAGACCGCGTGCGTCGAGCGCGCCACCGCCCTCGGCGCCACGCTGCAAGCCTTCCAATCGAACCACGAGGGCGCACTCGTGGACCGGATCCAGCAGGCCCGCACGGAAAAAGTCGACGCCATCATCATCAACCCGGGGGCGTACACGCACACGAGCGTGGCGATCCGCGACGCGCTGCTGGGGGTGGCGATCCCATTCATCGAGCTGCACGTCAGCAACGTGCACGCGCGGGAGCCGTGGCGGCACCACAGTTACTTCTCCGATAAGGCGAGTGGGATTATTGTTGGCTTGGGGGTGGATGGGTATACCATCGCGGTTGAGCACATCGTCAGAAAGTTTGGGAAGTTGGAGTATAACTAGCTTTTTTTTAACTTGTCTTGCTTGTTTGGGGGGGGTTTGGAAAATAGGGGATTCCTGGTTGTGGAAAATATTTGGGAGGGAAAAATGGATTACGAGTTAAGGGGGTCCGTCCTGTGGGTATAAAATGGTATATAGCGGTATATGTATATGACCTGGTTGATATTTGTATTTACATGGCTGCCACTTTGCAGCGGTTGCTCCAGATTGAGCATGTCCAAATAGCCCGTTTAACCATCTTCATGGTTGGCCTTCAGAAATCAGAGCGGACCGCTCTAGCCGGACAGCTGGGCAGCCGGCAGCCAGCCGCATCATCGCTTCGCAGCCTCAACCGCTTGAGACTCCCGTCGTACTACCCCCGGCTCCGGACACGGCACTTGCTGCTGCGTCTGAGCCAGGAGAAACGGCTCCACCTGCGTCGAATACGAGTAGATCTCCGGGACTCCCGCGTCGGGGACAAACCCCAGGTTTTGCATGAACTCGGGCTGGTTATCGGTTCTGTAGCTCAATCAGTCACGGGTCTGGAAGCAACATGGAATGCAAACTTACTTCTCGGTCCCATCCAGCGACGCTAGCTCATCGAACAACGCATCCAAGTCAGGCGCAATCTTTGGCCGTCGCGGCCCGTATCCGTCGATGTCCACGAAAGAGCCGAATGCAAGATTGGCGTCGCTGTAAGGTTGCTGGTACTGAGGGCCGCTAGGGTGGAATGATGAGGTCAGGTCGGGTATCATGGGCGTGCTATTCATAGGCTTGGAAGAGGAGATAGAGGTGCGCGGGTTATGGGTCATAGATTCTTTGAGCTGGGATGGGGGTAGTGGCGGCTCCGTGCCATGCGTGGCGATATTCAGCGACGGCGCTGGAGTGGGTATCGATAAAGCAACATTCTCTTCTAGATTGGGGGTTCTCATCCAGGTATGAGAGAAGAAGGCATCTGGGGTAGCAAAGTTGGACCGCGGTTCATCCATGGAGCTCACTCGACGGGCAACTTCTGTGGGCGTTTGTAGGGTGGATGGTGGGTAAGCATTGTGAGAGACCGACTCTCTGTTCGACGCACTCCTTGGTCGACTTGCGACGGGATCAACAGGGGTAGGCACGTCAAGCGCTCGTTCGGGTGGTACAGTCCCTCCAGACTCTCTTCCTTTCACATTCCAGACTGTAGCAAGATGCGCTGAATATGACTGGAGTTTATGTTTCAAGCCCGGGTCGAGCTCAAAAGGAAGCGACGCGTTGGAGCTCTCTGATGCCGAGAATGCGGCAAATGTCAGGATCATGCCAAAGGTAGGGCACGTGGCCGACAGGCTGTAGGTCTCCATATACGTCTGGAGCAGCGACAACAGCCGCTTGGAGCTTTCCACGGCTCGCTTCTTTATTGGTAGGTCAGGGACCATGCGATCGTCTCGCTGAGATGCGATTTGCAGACTGAGATTGGTTGCGACGCTCTCGTATACCATCTCGAGCGCGAAGATATGCGGCGAAGCAATCTTCGACGACTGGTTCGGCGCAGTCCCCACACGATAAGTCTTCGGCAGGGCAGACACCCAGAGCTGTAGCTGGCGCTCCAGCGCCTCCAGATGCGATATCGGACCTGCCGATGTCTGCTTCATGCAGCACAAATCATTCAGGATGCACATCAGCGAAGTGAGGCGGTTGAATGCACTCAAGGCGTGCAGGGGGCCGCGATGGAACGAAGCCCGCGACGACTCGACCGGGCGCAAACCAGTCTGGTCTTCCCACGGATGCCATTCTTCCAGCCCGTCCTCGTTGACCGGGCCAATGCGTAACAGTTCGTCTTTGCGCAGCGACGGCACCTGGCCTGTCTGCATCGCAACGAGCGTCTCCAGGATGAAGCAGCCGAGGGACACATGCTTGGATCGTGCGGTGCTTTTCCCGTCGTCGGTGGTCTTAGGCTGCCCGGTCGGTGGTTGGTTCAAACCAAGAGCCTGCGATATCCGCACAGCCTGTCCCACCAGCAGCCACGCAGCTGTCCAGTCCTGCTGCCCGATCTTGACCAGGGACAAAATCAGGAGAGCCTGGACATGTCCTAGCTCGTGGACCCCATCTGCGCCCGGAATGAGACATTTGGCCGTCGCATACAGGTGGCTCGGGTCGGGTCGTTCAGCAGAAAACTCTGTCAGCTGCCGAGTTGCGGATATTGATGCGTCTTGGATAGAGGCGAGAGTCAATACGGCCCATAAAGCGGCATGATCTCCTGAGCCTGGGGCGGTAGGTGAAACGTAAACATCGTCATCATCATTGTGTCGAAAGGCCGTTCGAAGGATGTCGTGTTTTTCAAGAATCGGAAACCAACAGTGTGTATAGGTGAAGTAGATGTCGAAAAGAGGCCATGCATTTGAGGGTAGCTGGGGGGGTTTCTGCATGACCGGGTCGGAGTTGGAGGTTAGGTGGGAGGGCAAACGAGCAAGAGAGGGGTTGGACAGCTCGTCGATGGAATCGGCGGAGAAGGTGGTCTGCGTGGACGTGTCTCGGGTGACACGGATGGCGGTGCTCCTCGCGATGGCTGATGCCGCTGTCGGGGTCTTGCTCGGAGAGACCACGGTCAGAGAGCCTTCGCGCGCTTCCGGCAACACGTCCGAGAGATGCCATTCGAGCGCATCGGATGAAATGACGCTGCTCCCTTCAGCATCCTGTGGCGAGTACGTCTCCCCGGGGAGTCGGACCGCTCCCTGATCATCATCGGGTTGCTCCAAATAGGTTAACAGCCGCTCGATCTCCTTGAGGACGATACTGTTTTTCCACGAAGAGAGCAGTGTGTCGGAGCCTTCGGCTTCCTTGCCCATGGTCGCGAGGTGGCTGGGGATATTGGCGGCCCTTAACAGGGCGCGCACCACCTCCTCACTCCCCTGGATCTTGTTGAAGACGAGGCCCCATAGCAGCTCGAGGGTGCGAATGTAACCGGTCGGGAGGCCGCGTTTCTTGGGATTGGCCTTGTAGGTACATGGACGCGAGAGCGAGGCACAGGTCGAACAAACGGGTTGCACCCCGTCACATTTGTCCTTCTTGGAGCGACAGCTGTCGCAGGCGCGTGAAACCCGTTGGCGTTTGGGATTGGAGGCGAGATCGTCTGCGGCCGGGGTCTGCTTGCCCTCCTCGTCGGCCTCCGTTAGACGTCGTTTGGACTTACTGGCGCCCCCGGAGGCTTGGCGCGTGTCGTTGTTCATGATCGTCTATCCCACGGTCCACTAGGTCGTTCCGGACGCATGTTCATCTTCAGGATGTGTCGCAGCCGGGAAGAGATGAATGCTTTGCCGGTGGCTGTTTAGGCCATATATTTTGGTGCTGTCTGACTCGGCCCCACTATGGATGCGATTGTCGACTAGGAGGATTGAACACCTTTTTAGTTGATCTGATTAGGAGTGTAAGTCATAAGCCACCAACAAGAGCGAGACTAATATCGGAGCAATCGGCGACAAGTGACAGGGGGGTGGTGGTGGTGGTGGTGGGATAGTGGGATGGTAGGATCTGGTTAGTGTGTGGGTGAAGTGTGGGTGTGGGAAAGTGGAAGAAAGGGAGGGATAAAGGAAGGAGGAAGAAAAATAGGTTAGGTAGTAAGCCTTCAGTAGGCGTGTGTTGCGTGCACAATGCAATTCAATTCAATTCAATTCAGCAGTGTTGGGAAGAGCGCAAGAGATCGAAAAGGCGGAGAAAAGAAAATGGAGAGGATATGACGGGCTGGAGTGAAAAAGTTGGGGAAAGACCGACCCTAGACTGGAATGGAACTTGGGAACTTGGAACTGCTTACCCGCGACGGACTGGACAGTTTAGGTATTGACTACTATGTAACTAACTGACTTGGTTTGTTACGTGGTTTAGTCATTTAGTCAACTAAATATTACAGATCCATGGGAGACTTTGGAGAGAGGGGAGAATCCCCCATTCCCAGTCCCCGGTCCTCTCAGAGAGAGCCGATTGGAAAACGCTAAGAGATTCCCGGTAAACAGGATCGAGTAAGGTGCAGCACGCTTTGGGTCAACCCTCTCGCTTGGGTGGCGGACAACCCCAGCATTGTCATTATTCATCTATTCTTACTCGAGGAAAATTACTCAGTTCCTTTCTGTGTCTGTTAGACATTAGCTTACCAGGACAAATAAAATTACCTGTGTAATTAATTATGTCCAGGACTCATCCTCAGTAGAGAATGGTTGGGCTGGTCGATCGACATGCGTCCAACCTCCCCCATGCTTTGACCCCGAAGCTAAAACAGAGGCACAGCCTCCTCCATCCGATTTTTCATTTCATCCCCCGCGGGGTAAGGGAGAACCTGAGAAACCTGGGTGAGAAAAAGAGAGCAAACAATTTAACCATTCAACCTTCGCGTCTCGGAAAACGGAATCCCTCCGGACTGGAGAAAACCTGGTATTGTTACGGTTACCTTACCGAGTAGTACCAGCAGCCCCAGGCCACAGTCTCCCGGCAGAGCCTTTCTCCGCACTTGCCGGCTGCCACTGCATCTTTGACCCGGCACTATCCTAGTGCGTAGTAGGACTGCACAGGTGATGTACTGGACTCTCTGCACAAGGATACACCCACAACGAGCACACAAGCTTGTCCTGAAGGATCAGAAGGATCAGAAGGATCAGAAGGATCAGAATAAATGAGCGAAATAACGCTTCTTGCATTATTCAATAAGTCGTTGCGATCAACTAATAATAGCTGCTTACAAAAGGACTGTCCAGCAACACCACCACTCCGCCACAGCCCACATACGTACTGTACAGTAACCTACTCGTAAGACATCAAAACACCGACACTACCGCTTGCTCTATCAGTCGGCCTTTTCGAAGTTTCCACATGTCAACCGGGTGTTATCGGACGCATGCACCACCACGGACAGATTACCCAAGAACGCAGGCGTATCCTCAACGTTGGACAGGAACCAGTCGGTGTATGCGACTGCGACGGACTCCCCAGGAGCCGCCCAGATAGGGCCATGCTTTCCACTGAGGTCACCGACCTCGCAAGTCTGAGGCGCCTTGATGTCGCAGGGAGGGGTATCGGTGCGGCCATACGGGTCCAGGTGACTGCTGGTGCTGTAGCAGTTGCCGTCCTCGGGCACCGGCTTCTTGTGAATATGGTATACTAATTGGGAGGTACCAGTCAGCATATCACGGGTGAACAGGCCGACAGCATTCGTAAGGGCGATACATACATAGGGGCTGTTGG